GCGAAGCCAGGCCCCGCCGCGCAGTGCCGGGGTGGGGGCGCGGGGAGAGGCTCCGCACCCCGAAAGCCGGCAGGGCGCCGCGGGGCGACAGCAGCAGGGGCGGGCAGGTGCCACAGGTTAATTGATGCGGCGCAATTAAGAGGCTACAACCGCCGACCCCAGGCTGCTCAGCACCTGCCCCTCGCGCACTGCCCAGCACGGCCCGGCGGTGCCCGTGGACAGAAGAGGAGGCAGCAGGGGAGGGGAGAGGAGGGGAGGGGAGGGGAGGGGAGAGCTGGGCAAAGCAGGGCAGAGCAGGGCAGAGGGCCGGCTCCGCTCGGCTCCACTCCAGGGGCGGACCCTCCCCGACACCGGCGCGGCGACAGGGAGGGACGGAGGGAGCAGAGCGGCCGGGGCCCGGGGCCCGCAGCCCGCCCGTACCGGAGGATGAGAAGAGGGGGCGGCGGGAACGACGTTACCTGAGCGATCCGAGCCGGAAGAGCCCGACCGACACCGGCACCCCCGCGCCGCCCTGACAGCTCCCGGCGTGCCCCGCGCCCGCCGCGCCCCGCCCGCCCCGCGCCGCCGCGCTGCGCCCCATGGCGGCCGCGGCGGGAGGGGCGGGTGCGCGGAGCAGATGTGGGTATGGATATGGGTATGGATCTGGATCTGGGTATGCGTGTATACTTATTTTGCCTAATCTTCACATAGTTTACCAAATATAGTGCAGGTAAAAATAGAAGGCGGGTGGTAATTTACAAAATATGCTACAGGTTACGCAGTGAACCTGTGGATGTCCCATCCCTGGAAGTGTTCTAGGCCAGGTTGGTTGGGGCTCTGAGCAACCTTGTCTGGTGGAAGGTGTCCCTGCACATGCTGGGAGGATTGTGAATGAGATTACTTTTAAGGTCACAGAATCACAGAATCAATTAGGTTGGAAAAGACCTCTGAGATTGTCTAGTCCAGCCCTTGACCGAACACCACTGTGTCAACTAGACCATGGCACTGAGTGCCATGTCCAGTTTTTCCTTAGACACCTTCAGGGACAGTGACTCCACCACTTCCCTGGACAGCCCATTTCAATGCCTAATCATCCTTTCTGTGAGGAAATTCCTCTTAATATCCAGACTTAACCTCCCCTGGTGCAGGTAAAGACTATGTGTTCTCATCCTGTCAGTAGTTGCCTGGGAGAAGAGGCTGACCTGCACCTGGTCCCTTCCCAGTCAAACTGGTCTGTGATGCTATGATGGTCTGTATGATGCCTATGCTTATGTTTACAGTAGTTGTATTAGGAATTTTCTAAAATTTGTTGGGATTTGTATGCTTGAGTCCATACACAAAGGTGTATGGGTGTCCACATGGACGCTACCAGAAGGAATATTTTACTGCAAGAGTAATTTTCAAATGACCAGTGCCACAGAATAAAGGGTACAGTTCTTAGTCTGCAATCTGTTAGTTTCAAAGTCATCATTGCAAATCTCAAATTTCAGCAGGCTTCAAAATAGCAAAGAGTTCTTACGGTTATGGATTACTTAACTAACTGCAAAAAAAATAAGGTGCATCCAGCTTACATGATAAATATTTTACACTTTGTGTGAGCACAAGTATTTCTAAAATATTGCAGGGGAAAATCTCATAATATTTATAAATCTTCTACTTCGTGACTTATGTTTGTCAGCCAACATTTTATGAAGTCTAATTTTACTCTCCAGACTTGGGATAATAATAATAAAGAGGAAATGCTATTCCTTTTCTCATTAAGCTATACCAGGAATTGGTAGATGAGAAACAGTTACTTTTTGGAAAGCTGACAATTCCCACTGGTTTTCTGAGGCATTGAATATGACTCTACGTGTCATGTATTTCTAATTAAGATGGTGCATTTAAATTTCTTTTTCATTGAACAGACTTACAAATGCATTTCACAGGTAATTGTAACTACGACTGGTGGTGCTTTTGGAGCTATTTAACAATGGTGAACATCACTGACAGGAAGGCACTGTCAATAACTGACCACGAGTTTTCACATGCTGCTGCACTGCAGGGTGGTCGGATTCCTAAGCTTCCCTTGTGCTGAATGTAGGAGTGGCAGTTACAGTTCAGAGCTCCCAAACAGTTCTTTGAAATTGTCTCATCGACTTTATGTGCAGTGGCACAAAAAAAAAAACAACCCACAAAACATTGTACGTTGCTGGGAAGAATATTGAGAACAAGACGAGGATAGTTGTTTGGCTGCTATATAAAAGGCTGGCACAGCCTCAGATTGATTACTGCATTGATTCTTGTCTTCATGGCTCAAGAGGGGTGTAGGGAGGTTGGGAAAGGCACAGCAGAGATATGTTGCTGTTGTCTTACAGCGAGAGCAATAACAACTGGGACTGCTCTATGTAGACAGAGAGGGCAGGGGGGAGGATTGATCAAAATCTACAAAATGATGAAAGGTAACAAAGTTGTGGTAAACCAAATCTCACAGTATAAGAATGAAGAGGCACAGAAAATGCTTTTCTGCTAAGCAGATTGTGAACTTCTAGAACGTATAGGCACCAGGGACTGGGGACTTTGACAATATCTGTAGGTCCAAGGAGGCATTATTCATATTGATGACAAACACATCCATAAGTGGACACTGAAGGAACTGGGCAGAGATGAACCCTCCAGCATCCCTAATACAGTGAGATACATCAAGGAAGTGACCACACTACAGAGCTCTTCCCTACTAGGATCTCCTTTTACTGACATTGAGGTCAGAATAATGTTCTGGATGCACCACTAATGCTAGGTGCACTCACTCTGTAGGATATTTACCTTCTTTTCTATGTAATTATTTCACAGCAGAAATGGTGAGAAACCCATAATAAACAATTTTGTGTAAATGAAGCTCACACCCTGCAAATACTTCACATTATTCATAACTTTGTAGCCTTGTGTAAGTCCTTCTGAAGTCAGGGCCCAAGGCCCGTTTACTAATCCTAGGAGTCAATTCTCCAATAATTACATGGATTTTATGTTTGATGTATGACATACTTGCTCAGAACAATTTAACCCGTAATATGTACATTGGTTTGTGAAGTAATTGGAAATAAAAGCCACCATGTGGTCCAAATTTTTTTCTTCCTTAAAAAAGGAAACAACAGCAAAATCCCCAAACACCACACTCCAAACAGCATGTAGACAGTATAGTCTGCATTTTAGAATTCTCCAATAAATCCATGCTTTGTAAAAAACAACAAAACTTGGTTGAGACAGTTGAGTTGACTATTATCTGCTGTATTTTTCCCACAAAATCTAACGTTGCTCCATCTGCTTCTTTGGGACTCTCCTACTTGGTATTGATAACTCCAAGGACTAAGAATACTTCAAAGTAGTCATGACTTCTATAGTAAATTGCTGTAAAATTAGCATGCGCAAATTTGCTTTTTTGCTTAAAGCTTTACAGATCATGTTTTCAACTAACTGCAACTGCAGAGGGTCTTGTGACTTTCATAAAAAGTAAGCATTAACAATGCAGAAACAGTCCTTGTTTCAAAGCAAAAGCTTCTTTCCTTGGTGTCCTTGAATACTGACCATCAGCTTCCTATATACTGTGAAGCTGGCATGCTGGATGAAGTGTGCAGTCGTGACGGTGCTCATAAGCTAAGAACAGTCACACAGGGGTGTCAGAGTGGGCTTACGGTCTCTTGATAAAAGACCTCATGAGAGGCAGTAGGAAGCCTCACCCCAGAGCAGCAGCTGCTTGTGCTGAGTGTCCAGTTGTTATGAGTGCAATGTGACAGCATTCAAGAGCTGGGTGAACATGGACTAGGAGGAATTCAGGCAGACTTGCAAAGCTGTGAGAAAGGGTGGAGAGGGGTTTGTTCACAAGGCAGGAGGTAAGTGGTGGTGCAGTGATACACCACAGGACACAGTACCCAGTGCTGACTGGGGATCCTGGCTCAGCAGAGGCCACTGCTCAGTCTGAACTTTGCAGGTGTGGTGGGGTGACCCCAGCCCACTGCTAGCTCACTGCTGCACAGAGGGAGAACCAGAAGAGCAAAAGCAAGAAAAGTTGTGGGTTGAGATAGTGATGATTTAGTAAGTGAAGAACAGAGTTTAAAAAAAACCCCAACCAAACATACAATCACTCACCACCTCCCACAACTAGAGCAATGATGCCCAGCCAGTCTCTGAGCAATGTCCACTTTGGAAAGACTACACTCCAGTTTTGACTGCCAAGCATGACATTACATGCTATGGAATATCACTGGTCAATTCAAGTCAGCTATCCTACCTTTCCCCCTGCCCCAGCCTCTTGCCCATCACCAGCCTACTTACTGGGGGGTTCAGAGGGAGACACCAAAGAGGCCTTGGCAGTGTGCAAACACTGTTTGGCAATAGCTGTTTAGCTGAAAGGGACTTAGGAGTGCTGGGTGACAGCCGGCTCAATATGATCCAGCAGTGTGCCCAGGTGTAACCAGCAGTACTAGGGAAGTGATCCTGTACTTGGCACTTGTGAGGCTGCACCTCGAGTACTACGTTCAGTTTTGGGCCCCTCACTTTAAAAAGGACATCGAAGTGCTGGAGTGTGTCCAAAGAAGGGCAATAAGGATAGTGAGGGGTCTACAAAACACGTCTTATGAGGAGCAGCAAGCTTGTTTAGTCTTGAGGAGGCTCAGGGGGCACCTCATCACTCTCCACAACTGCGTGAAAGGAGGTTGTGGGGGCTGGTCTCTTCTACTGTGCGTTCAGTAAAAGGACAAGAGGAAATGGCCTTAAACCGAGACAGGCGAGATCCAGATTAGATACTAGAAAAAAATTTTTCTGTGTTACTGTGGCGAGGTACTGGAATAGATTGCCCAGGGAGGTGGTGGAGTCACCATCCCCTGGATTGTTTAAGAGGCATCTGGATCTGGCTCTGGTGATATGGTTTAGGGGTGTAGGGATTACAGTGATAGTGCTGGGAGGACGTTTGGACTAGATGATCTTACAGGATTCTGTCATTCTATGATTCCATGCAGGCGGCGCTGTGACGGGAAAGGGGGCCTCGCGCCTGCGCCGGCCGCGAGCGCGGCCGCTTCCTGCGCGGTGCCTGGAGCTGCGCGGTGCCGGCATGGCGGGAGGGTTCCTCATGGAGATCAGGCGGGGGACGCAGAGCGCGTTGCTGGTTATCCGGTAGTGCGGGGGCGCTGCCCGCCCGCCGCCGCTCGGGCCGTGCGGGGAAGGCGGGGGCGCGGCGCGGGGACGGCGGGCTTGGCTTTTGGCGTCCTGAGCCTTGAACGAGGGGGAACGGGTTGTGTACGAGCGCCTCCCTCCGCTCTCGTCTGCCTGTGCGGCTCGGCACAGCCCGGGCTAGTGTGCAAATAAATGCTTCCTGAGAACGGTAGTTTATTTCTCTCGGTTGCTCCTCGCTCCCACGAGAGACCTCGGTTCACCGCATGGGTTCCGGGGCGCGACTCGGGCCGCGGGAGAGCTGCAGGCCGGCCCGTGTCAAGCAGCAGCTCGGCCTGACGGCCCCTTCCCGAGGCAAACGCCGTTCCTTTTCCTCCCCAGCGCGTCGGCGGAGGATCCGGGCACGCCGGTGGAGGTGTCGGTGTCAGCGGATTCCCTGGAAGTGCGGAGCAGCGGGAGCTGCGCCCCGGCAGCGCTGCCGGCAGGGGTCAGGCTGGCGCCGTCCTCGTGCCGCGGGCTCCGCCGCCTCCCCGGGGACGGACTGCACCTGCGCGTGCGCCTGCGCCGCCCTCCGCCCCCTGCCGGTGAGGGTGGGGCGGGGGCGCGGCTGGGGCCGGCCATCAAAAACGTTGTGAGGGGGGGTGTGAAACAGCGCGGGTTCAACTGAAGGGCTTTTTAGCGTAGGTTCTATAGAAAAAACACCCCTGATTCTTCCCACTGTCAGTCCGCCCCTCAGCCTGAAGCCAGTGGTTCGCGCTGAGTGTGTGTTGTTGCTGTTTCTCAAAGGCTGTGTTAGCTCTGACTTGAAGGCGTAAATAGGAACTGAGAAAAATTTAATGGACTTGTCACTTTTAAAATATTGAAGTGCAATTAGAATGGCGTAACAAAAGGAAAACGTGGACTGTAGGAGTTTTGAGAATCAATTCCTCCACCTATGCTTCCCCGTAGTACTTCTGAATTATTTCATTTCTGTTTCATGTTTAGTAGCTGAAGATCATAAAATATTAAGGGGTTGGAAGAGACCTTAAAGATCGTCTTGTCCCAACCCCCCCTTGCCATGGGCAGAGACACCTCTTACTAGACCAGGTTGCTCAAGGCCTCATTCAACCTGGCCTTGAACACTTCCAGGAATGGGGCATCCACTGGGGGTAACCTCTTCTGGGTGTCTCACAATAAAGAATTTTTTCTTAATATGTGACATGAATTTCCCCTCTTTCCATTTGTACCTATTAGTCCTTGTCCTATCACTACAAAAATGCTGTAATCTGATTCATCCAGGCTGTCAGACTAAGGTTGTCCATCCCTGACCGCTTAATCATAAAGGATTGTGGGTTTTTGTTGAGGCTCTTTGTTCTCATAGCTGGGGTTTGCATAGGTTAATGGCATAGGTAAAATCTGCAAAGTTACCTTCTTTACTTCCATGATGCTAATTCAGGTCTAGAATGTCTTTGCAATAAATAGAAAACATGGTAGTACAGCTGGTGCTTTCTTTCGTCCTGGCATTGAAGCTCAATATGTTTAGATTCATGGCATATGATGTGACACAGAAATATATATTAAATAACACAAAATTGCCATTCTGTGATTTTAAAGTAACAATGGCCAATAAAGTGTGTGATATACAGTAATGATTTCAGCACCAGAAATGCACTGGAATGCTCTGTTGATTTTAGGATATGCTGAGGTTGTATCTTTACGTTAATCTGTAATTATGCATGTGCTTTAAAAATTCGATTATACTAAAATTATTTAGTGTGTCCTATTAATGAGACATGCTTGAGGAGACCAGTGATGAAGTTTTAAAAATTTACCTTGGAAATTCATACTAGTGAAAAACGTGTCTGTGAACCAGAGGGTAATCAACGTATATATTGGAAAATCTTAGTTAGCCTTTAATGCTAATATTGTTATGCAAAACCAGTTGTCTCTTACATGAAATTCTGGAACCTTTTAAAGTACTTTTCTCTTGTGGTTGAATCCTAAATTTTAAGTACTGAATGCCAGTGCTGGGAATATACTTTGGTTCTTAAATTTGAGGAAGTGGGCGATGCAGAGCATGTTCATACATAGAGCTTGGCTTAAAGTCTTACTTTTCTTCCACTTAATATTGTTGGATAATTGTGGAGGCTTTTATAGCTTCTTCTTTAATTTGGAAAAGTTGTCTGAGCAGGCTTTTGTGAGACTGTTTTTGCTTTGCTGGCCTGCAGAGGCCGTTGCTCACTATCTTTTCCTGGACTGGTACTACAGTGGCTGGCCTCTTATATGCCTGAAAATTTAAAACTGGTGCCTCCCTCTGCTCCCTGTCCTGACTACTTTGTGTTACGTATTGGGGTGTATCCTCATATTGCAGAGACATTGAGTATCAGAAATATCATTACAAAAGAGTGGCACTGAATTTTGATTTATACAACCTCGCTAATGATATCTGTATCTCAACTCCCCCTGTGGAGAGGATTTGCACCTTGAAAATTATTGTTCACATATACAGTTCCTATTCAGCAATATGAAGCATGAGGTGGAGATGGCAAGTTTTTCCTCAATCTAGATACTTGTTTCTACAGGTAAATAAATGAAGGTTGTGTTTCAAATGTCAGCATCTTGCATTGTTTGTTAGATTTCTCTTTCTTGGTTTGAGGTATTTGGCAGGATTTTTCTGTACAAGTGACTGAAAATTTTATACAGTTTTTTGAAGATTAATACGTTTGCTTTTATTAATAGATCTGGCTTTTACTTTGAGGGAAAGCCTGAAACCCCACAAGAAATACGTCTTTTACTGTCAGTCCTGTGGTGACATCATAGTAAAAGACCGGTGAGTACTGCAGTGTCTTGTACTTATAGCAATAAGTGCCATAGTGATTCGTATTCACGTTATTTTGTCTACTTAGAGGATGCTAAAAGTTATTTGTTTTGACATTGATAGACAAGAACACATTTGAAGCACTATGAATGACAAAAAGCAAAATTGCCTGAAGCAGTTTTTAACCATTCATTTAATTCTTGATTTCTTTCTTCCTCTGCACTTCAGGCATCCTCTTCTGTTCTTTGCAGTATCTTGTAAATGTCCTTCAGTCATTGTGCTGTAATTATAGAGTGGCTGCTCAGAATGGGAATGTTGACCAAATCCTACCTCCACATGGTTCTGGGGTGCTGAATTTGGAGAACACAGGAGCTCTGTCTTAGAGGTGTGACTCGGCCTCTTCTCTGTTCCTTACGAAGTCTGCAGAGTGAATGAGAATTTCGGTAAAAAGCTGCTGCATTATCTGGCTCTTTTGATGAACAATTTTGACAGCTTCAGTTGTATATATGAGAATTGTTACAGATGTGCTTACAGCCTTTTGTGATCTGTGTGACTTCTAATACTTTGTTACTTTCTTGTCATAGGTGTAGACTTATGGCTAGCCTGAATGTAACTGAATGAGGATTTTTTTGGCTTTCTCTTCTGAAATCAGAAATTCTCTTTCTCATCAGAAAATCTAGTAATAACTCTTATTTTGATACATTTGCAGAGTAGTGAAACTTCTAATTTCTAGTCAGTAGTGTTTGCTTTCAAAACATACTGCACTTTTATATTTTCATATCTCAGTGGGTGTTTTTTGAATTTCAGCACATCAAATTCATATGCATGGAGTTTAAATCTTTTGGTTCTGAATCCTGTAATATAATGCAAGCAGAATTTTTGAGAAAGGAAAAAACCCCGCGTGTTCATGGCTCTTTACTTGGCATTTCTTCTTGCAGGGAACCTCTGAGCCCCTTGAATGTTGCCAATAAAAAAGACTAAGACAAGGGTAGAAGAGTGGAACTGCCAGTGTATCCAACACTTTCTGTCCCAGCATTTCCAAAAGGAAGAGAGTAGCATAGTCAGAAGTTTCAGCTACTAAATTCATGTGTTCATTTCTTTGGGGAGAGTTAAGTATGACAGTGGCAACACAGGTGGAGGGATTGAAATTACATAACTGTGTGAAGGACAACTTTATTAAAGTGTAAATTACTAGAAAAGGATCTGTAATAAGAAAAACCTGAGATCTAGAAAATGATATCTTTGAGAATAAATTGAAATAAATGGGATTTAGTTTAGATAAAGTTGTGGAGAAGACATAAGACTCTTCCAATATCAAAGAAGTTAATGCAAAGAAGGTGCCAGTAGTCTTCAGCTGAAGCAAGAGCAATTCAGGTTAAAAATGAAAAAAAATCCAAACCTGCCACAAACCTATTCTAAAGCTTATGTTTTACTGTTAAAAAGACTGTGTAAGCAGCCATCATTTTAAAGGCTAGATTAGACAAATATATTAGGAATGGTTTAAATGTAAGTAAACCTTCCTTGGTGCAAGAAAATTGACTGTGCATTTTCTGAAATCCTCTTGTTCAGTCCGTTTCCTTCTTTGAATCTGATTGTTCTTCAGAGGTTGGGGGGATGTTCTCTGATTCTTCTCCATTACTCTCACATTATCCATGTTAGAGGAAGTGATTAGATTTTTGTTTTCTTCCGCGATGTAAGAACTGCAAAGAATTTGAGATACTTTCATTTTTCTTTCTCTCCTTCCAGGTGGGCTAAGTATAGCTCACATATAAAATAATTCTTTAAGGCTTTATTTCTGTCATGAAGAAATTCTTAAAGGTTTGTGGTGGGTGGATGCCAGGTGCCCACCAAAACTGCTCTGTTACTCCCCTCCTCAGCTGCACAGGGGAAGGGTCCCAGCCTAAAAACTGTTTGTTGCTCTGACCATGAAGGCAGCCTAGGTGACTATTTTTAAGTAGAATCTCAGTTGTTATTAGGAGCAAGTTTGGGGACATAAGTCCCCCTGTCTACTAGGTTTTATCACTGTGTTTAGCAGCCTCAGTTTAGTCAGCACCCAGTGAACCTCAAGTTGTTTTCGTTTGTTTGTTTTTCCAGAAAACTACATTTTCGTTAGTGTTACCTTTTTCCAGTTCTGATGATGAAGGATGTGACTTCCTGCCTATGAGTGGTGAAAGCCTAAAATATAGTGGAAATGCTGTATTTTCGGTATAGCTCAAAGTTAAGAGAGTCTGTTTAGGAAATTCCTACTGATTGGAGCAACTGCTTTTGTTGGAAAAGAAGTGAAGATCCTGATGCTTTAGACTGTGAGAGGCTAAAGAAAGGGTGATGTAATGAATAGAGACAGCTTCAGTATGCAGCTTAAGGTAGTCTCTGGCTTTTTTTTCTCCTGTATGTAACTCTTGTAAAAACGTTGCTGAGCAATACCAGCTATTTGTTCTTTAGTGTAAAGAGCAATTCGTAGTTTTTTATTTACAGTGTGAGTCCAGGAATTGGAACTAATTGTGAAGGCTGGTGAAGAATGAGTCATTAGGCTAATACCAGAATTAAAGCCTCACCTTGGCAGTACTGGGTTGTATCTCAGGCAATACATAAGAACACAGAAAATGAAGATAGAGATGGGTAGTGCTGAGAGGTTATCTTAGTTATGTTAAAGCTGGATCAGAGGACGAGTTATTCCAACTTTCATCTGCGGGTAGGGCAAGCACAGTTTAAAATGTATTGTCGATCTAGAAGGAAGGATTTTTTGATAAAAGATTTTACTTATTGAACAATTCAAAAGGGACAAGAAACTACAATGGGAAGAATTGACATCCTCAGAAAAGATTAGTTTGGGAACTGCAAGAAAGGGAGATGTCTAACTATTGGCTTAGCAGCTGTGTTTTTATTTGCAGAGTAGTACCATAAGCAAAGTCGTATTTGCAAGTTTAAAGTAAGAAGTAGAATCAAGAAACTCTGTAAAAGTTTCAGGTGACAGCAGAATAACTAGGGGAACAAAAGGAAAGCATTTAAGGAAACTAGGAAGAGAGCAGAAAATGCAAACCCAGTACAACTGATAACAAAGGCAAAGTCTGGTATGTCCTGAAGCAGCATCCTTGGTCCTACAGCTACCCAGGAGAAAGGGATTTGTGTTTTTTTTAATGTGACTTCTGAAAGTTGGATCTGGGTACTGGAATCTGAATTAAGATTGCATTATCCTTTGTTTGTTGTTTTGTTTGTTTCTGTTTTTTTAATGAAGATGTACTGTGGTATTTTTGTCAGGATTTACCTTTTTCAAAGTCTGGTATCTGACTCTGAAGGGCTTCAAAGTACATGCTGAATCTTGCTGTAGCATGAGTCTGTTTCTGTTGGTTTTATATCAACATTTGGTGCAAGTAATAATAAGTGTAATTGCAAAATGCCCATTGCTATATTTTGCATGATTGGGTAGAACTGTTTTATTTTTTACATATGATTAATTTCAAGATAAGACTATACCAAATTCTGCCTTATAATCAGTTCAGATTCACCCTTGGGAAATGTTTTATCACAAACTTGGCAGGAAACACTCAGCCATGGCTTTCTCAGAATTCACCCAAAGAAAGTGCCTTTGACTGAAAAGAGAGTCAAGTATTTCTTTTGAGAAAATGCCATACTTCTCCTTCCTCCCCCTCTTCGTCAGGAGTCTAAGCTCTCTTTTAATATCTTAGAAAAGAATTATAATATATTGAAATGCTTGTTTCTTGTTCCCTCTTAGGAAATTTCTTAGAGTTCTTCCTCTACCGAGTGAAAACTGGAATGATTTAGTTGAAGAGTGGTGTTGTCACCCTAACCCCTTTGCCAGAAGCACTTTGCGCCCTCAGCATGATGACTGTTTTCTTGGAGACACTTTTTTTATGTTGAATTCAGGAAATGAATCACATGTGCCTGAATCTCTCACGTGCTGCTCAGAGACTGGACACCATGCTTCGCAGAGTGGCTTCAACTTGGTAAAGTATTTTCTTAATATAATTCTCAGGTGAATGCATTTAGACTTTTTTAATTATAAAGTACATTTTTTTATTTCCTGGCTTGTTTAACTTGCATGTATTACAAAGCTGTTTTGAAGGTCATTGAGAGTTCTTGACATCCAGTTGTACAGAAACCAGAAAATATTCTATGCTATGTTTTACGTTTTTTAATCTCACAGCACAGTCTTGATATTGACCTAGATATGCAAGAAGACTTTTGTCCTATAAACTGAATTAGAAGGTTTACATTTATGCAGTTCTAAACGCAAAAGTTTTCCCCCAAAAATATCCCGAGTGAAGGGCAGAAGGGCATTGAAATTTAGTAAGATAATAACTGTAATGGGTTAGGTGTTTGTCAAAGGATAGTGGAGCAAAGAATGAGGAGGAAACTGGAGTAACAATTATTTTTCTTTTCAAACTATGACTGGATGCATAACCATAAATATGATCACAGGAAGGTGGGAATTTTTTTTCTTTTTTTTTTGCTTTAGAAAGACTTAGAAATGTGTTATGGGTTCAGATGTGGCTGTCTTCTTAGAAGGAAATTGAGTTTGTTTGACTGTTCTGTCTAGAGAGGGGGCCTGCCATGTCACATTCTAGCTCTTTGTGTGGATGTTTCTGAGGTGTTCCAGGATGGGATATATTCATCAGCTGAGTCTCTAGGAACAAGGCTATCATTTGGCTCAGAAATGTCAAAATTTGTTGTTTCCAGGGAAAAAACATTTTTAGGAATGCTGATGTTTCAATGGCAGGATAAAACCCATGAAGAAAGAAAATTCAATGCTTTACTCGTCCTGGAGGTATAGCATGTGTATAAAATTTCAAGCAGTAATCTTTTCTTCTGCCAGAAGAACATCTAGGAATTTAGTTCATCAAAGCCTACATTTCCATAAAGCTTGTCTGCGTTTATGCTGACAATGGTTGGGCCTGAAGATGCTGTATTTTCTCACAATACCAAGTATTAAACCTAACTATTGAAATCCTTCTACAATTATGGGAACCACTGCAACCTTGGCAGTTTGTGTCTGTAGCAACTGATGACTTTCTATATCCAGATTCCCAGCGTGAAACTTTTAATCTGTTGAGAACTAACACCAGAGACCCTGATTTCCATCTGCTGCTGCTGCTGCTTATTAGTGATTTGTATTATCCCCAGTAAAATTCTCACAATTCAGTGGTTGCTGGTGCAATGCCTGGGGAACAGTTTTGTCCTATAGTCCGTATCTCCAGCTCTTACTGCTGTGGTCCCCTTCGTTTCTTGTTCCATTGTTCTTTGAAAAGCAGAATATGAGGAGGGGAAAATAAGGACTGGTACCCTGAAAGGATATCAGCATGGGAGAAGCAGATTAATTTGGATTAACTCTGTGACAATTGGAGTTATTTCTTCTAAGTTTCCTTAAGAAGGAGGTGGAGTAGAAGATTATGAATTTCAAAGAGGACAATGCTTTCTGCCAGAGGTCCCCAAAATGAATTCTCACATTTCAGCAGTCTTAAAAGAGATCTTAGAAGAACAGGAACAAATATGGGAAGAGGCATGGTGTGTGGAGTTCATATTGCACACTTCTTCATCAGTCAAAGAGAATGTTTGGCAGCAAAGGATTGTTTTTGAGACAAACACATAATAAAAGGATGCAGAACAAAGATGTTACAGAGATGTGAGTCACACCAGGATAACAGAAGGACTTTTAAATGAGGGAGAAGGCTGTTTTATGTCAGAGGCATACTATAGTAGTTTAGTGTAATGAATTTTCATGTTTGCTTCCTTAAATGCCTCAGAAACGTCAACATGAAGAGCTATAATGTGGGATGTCAGGTCCCCTTCTCTAGACAGAACAGTCAAAGAAACTCAATGTCCTTACTGTGTCCTAGGAACGTAAGACAGCCACATCTGAAATCATAACACGTTCTGATTTTCCCAAGTCTTTATAAAGCTAAAAAAAAAAAAAATAATTGAGAATGTATTGCTTGTTTGTGTCAAATCCCTCTTTCTACATCTTTCATACTAGCAGTGAATTCTCATTTCTGTGTTTGCTTATTTCCAGCATCACTCAGTTGCCAAGCAAATGAGCAAAACTCTTAAGATCCAGCAGAAACTGGACTATTAAGGAAAAAACCCTCCTACTGAAGGAGAAAATTCTTCCATAATATAAGTAATAGAAAGTTACAAGCAAGACGGATTGCTACTGGCATAAATGTTTTCATTTCAGATAATTTTGTTGCAGCCTGCCCCAGTATGAAAGTTCTTTTCTAATTGCATTGCAGTTCTTTGGGAAGTGTTCGCCTATGACCAAAATAGTAGCAGGAATGTACCAGAGATGCTTAAACAATGTTTTCCAGACTCCAGTGGGACCAAGACAGCATCCGTCCACTGCAAACATATTTTTCACATCTATTAGTCTTCCAGTGTAACATAGTTTTTAAATGTCACATGGTATTGCAGCATCCTAATAGTATCTCTTGGGGAAACTCTTTTTCCCTGACACCATATCAGGGATCCTTAGGAATAGAAACAGAAAATATTAGGCTTGTGATCCACCTCCACCTGCAGATTGCCAGCAGCTGCAAGTTGTCAAATAGATATATTGATTTAATTAGTCAGGCTAGAACTGTTGCTTTTTCCATTGAAGCATGATCCAATGAGGTAGTGGTGTTTTTTTAGTACCGTACTGCACAGTTCTCAGCCAGCATCTGTAACTGTAGTCAGAAAAAAATACTCAAGTTGTAGCTTTCAAGGAAGTACTGTATATATTCTATACTTGTACTATGCGGTATTTGTACCTGTCTCAAATACTGGTATTCACAAAACCTTGTCTACTTATCCTTGTTTTTCACATCAAGCAAGTGATTTTACTGTGTATGTTTGAGAGGAGTAGCAAGGTGGGAATTGGGAAAGGGGGTAACTGCATATATATATGAACCAGATATTTCTTCTGATCTCCATAACAAGGGGGCTGTAGTTCCAACGTAGTCAGCTCTTGGGCTCTCCCTGGGCCATTTAGTTTGATTTGTCATTTGTGACCGTTACAGACGTTATATATATGTACTGCTTTCAGACCAGAGCTGTAGCGTGCTACATCCAGGTTAGTAAGCCCACACAGAACCAGTTTTGGACTCTGGATTAAAGTAGGAGTTGTGTTTACTTGTTTGATACTGAATTTAAATATTAACACTGTAATTAGCAGGAGTGTTATAGGGCAGATTTCATGCTGAAAGGAGATCTTTTTCAAAGGGCAGTAATGGATACATAAGAGTAAGGCAAGTATTGAGTTATGTTTTGGAGATTGTAGAGACTCCTTGAACTAAATACAGTTATCCACATTTTTTATTTTTAATAAGACCTTGATGAACATTTCCTCTGAATTTTTGAAGACTTTCTGAACTTGTGTATATTTTCACTATGAAAAATACTTTCCTATAGGGAGTACCAAACTATATTATGCATTGTCTGACAAATGCTTTCCTTTTCTTTGATGCAAACAGAACTCGATGATCTCAGAGGTCTTTTCCAACTTAGTTGATGCTGTGATTCTAAAATTTTATGGCATGAGCTATGAGAGCAAATGTTTTTTCTTTCTATTCAGCTTTTCCTAAACATTAGTGATTTTATGTATCTCAGTGATAGCCTTCAGTTTTCTGTCTTCTGTGCTTCCTTCTATTACGTGTATTTTCTTGCCACATATGGAGAATGTTTTGCGCCTCTGACAATTATTCTTTGTCAATACCTTTTCTGTTTCTGCTTGAATTGAGGGAGAAAGGTTGTTCAAGAACAGAATAGACTGCATCTTTCTGGAATATCATGCTATATTGTGTTCCTCAGCTCTTTTCCACTAACTCAAAACAATCTGTGGACATTTTCTACTATCTGCTGAATGTTGAATTGGTATTTGACTCATATAAAACTGTCCAGAGTGGCTAGAACTTTTTACCGAGTAATGGTATTCACTTTGCATCATACGATTTTATGTACATATTATGCATTACTTCATTTCATGTGCATTATTTTGCTGTGAGGTCAGGATATATTGCCAGATTTTAAAACTAGTATGAAACTTGCAAGCAAGTCCAGCTATAGAGAGCTGAAGTAGTGAAGGCAAATCTGTGTGCATGTAAACATAAAGAGAACAGAAAGAAGTATGAAGTTTGCTGTCTACTCTGTAGATTATATTACAATTATGCATTCCTTTTTCAGAATATCAGAGAGACATTTAAATTATATTTCTTTGTCCTACAGAAATCAAAGGAAAATACCAGAGTAATTTGTAAGCGCTGCAAGAAAATGCTGGGAGAAACAATATCGTCAGGTATGAGTGTGCAAACAAAACTAGACTTGACTGCATCAACCATTGAGCACTGGAGGTTAAAAACTCTGAAGGAAAGTAGTTTTATCAGTAAGCTGCAGGGCTGATTCCTGTGTGTTCATCCCATTTCCTTCTGGAACAGATGAGGTTGTTTATTCCACTGTTAGACCTTGAAAGTGACTTTCAGCAGGGATTTTCCTCATCCTTGTTTCTGTGGCATATTTGGCTAATTTCAAAGCTTTGGAAGACTCAATGCATGATTCCAGTTTATTAGGAAGCTCGGTAAAAAAGGAGCCTTGAGAAATTACAGGTTGTTTATTTTCCTGTCAGTTCTACGGAATAATTGAGAGGCTAATTCAGAACTTGATCAACACAGAACTAGAAGCTGAAGATATGGTTGCTAACAGCCTGATTTTGTGGGAAGAAAGCCTTGTCAAAGAAACAGGTTATGTCTCATCCTCGTTTGATGATGAGATGATGGTTTAAAAGTGTAATTATAATGAATCAGCAGGGTCTACCAGAAGTAGTCTAAAGATCTGGTCGTATTTAAAATTCAGCTATTAACAGGAGAGAAGCAATGATAAGACTGTTAGTAGCAGGGTTCATTCTTTCGTTCTCCCTCTACTCCACTGCATCAGTCAGTGTGAGCCTCTTTCAGTTCAGAGATCTGGTGAATATAAAAACTTCTCAGAAAATGCAAAGCCTGTTTTAGAAGTAAGTCACGAGGTGATGGAAGACAGAAGGTCTTCTGTACAGAACGTTCTGATTGTCCTGTACAGGGATCTGAACAACACGGGCTTTAATAAAACCAAGTTTAAGGTAAAATGTTTGAAAGCCTCCAAAGGAGGATGTGACTTTGGGAAAGGAGTGCTTGGAAAAGAGCATGAATAATAGGGTCATGAGTAATAGATGCCTTAATCTAAGCCTTCAGATGGTTGTAGCACCCAGTAATTGATATGACTGATATAATCGATGGGAATAGATAAAGGCAAACACTGTGCATGGATTTGGTGTGGACTCTGCACATAGCTGAAGTTAGATAGCATATCCATTGTTTTGACCACGCTTGTTCAGTACTGTAGGAAATTTAGGTAGAGTTCAAAGAACAGACAAACTAACCAGCAATATATGGTATAAGTCTAGGCAGAACCATCTCTGTGAAAAGGGACTAGAGAGCAAACTTGACTGTCATGGTTTGGTACTTCCTCCTGAGCAGATATCAGTGCCTTGACGATAAAGCAGGATTAGAGTGGTGTAGCTGTGGAGGCCACATTTGGATTTGAATTTCTCCCCAACTCTACCCACAGACACTTGTATGATTTTTTTCTTGGGAAATCACACCTTCTGTCTCTCTGCTAGCAAATATCTCCTGAATTCTCAATACCTTTGTAGCAGTAGCACTAATTCCTTAGTCAGGGTAATGGGTGAGGAACTAAAGGGACTGAACTTTATTTTCCTCCTGTCTCCTCAGACTAGTACAGCATGGAGAAGACTAAGTTAAACTTAGAGGTAAAATATAATTTCCTAACAGTGAAGATAATTTAAAAAGTTATCTAGTACTTATCTAGAGAAGGGATTGGATTACCAAGCCTTTGGAGTCTTTAAAACACATTAAGTGTTTTCCTGAAATGCTTACTTTCATCTAGTTTTAATGGTACGTGTGGACAGAGATCAGATGAGATGATCCTTTTCACCCTTAAAATTTATGGAACCGATGAATCTTCCAGCTGTTCACATGCTAAGGCTTAGTAGAATGTATTTATTACTCTCTATATTTAACCTGTTTTGCTGGCCCTCTCATAGGCTATGTTTGCAGCGTAGACCCAGATCTTCAATATGATCGTCTTTGACCTGACTTTATTGATGGGGATTAAATTATGTCCTCAAGCACTTACATTTAGTGTTAAAGGCTGTCTTAGTGAAGCTTTTGGTGAACGTTGAAACTCAGAATGTATGCAGTGCTAGTGTTGAGTAAGTGTGATTTTTGGAAAGAAGTTCCATTCTGTTCTTTAAGCAAAGAAGAAAATTATTCCCCTGTGTGTGCTGTTATTAAAACTGTCTCTTGTGATTCACTGCAGCATTACTGAGCAGCAGAGGGTACTAAAATACTTATGTAAGCTATGCTGATCTCAGTGCTTTAGGGAAGTCCTTTCAATTCATCTTTCAGGTTTGGCTTGAGCTCTTGCTTTGTTTCAAGGTGATTGTTCCCAGCGTTAACAAAGATCAATATGAATGATAAATTGCTGATCATGTAATTAGCTCAGAACAGTTTTCTTCAGGTAATGTAGGTTTTTTGTTATGGTTGCTTCACCTCCTACAAACCAAAGCAGAATTTGACCGTCTGCTGCACTTCTTAATGGAGTACTGAACAAATGTTTAATTAGTTTAGCGATAGGCTGTCTTATAGTCTAATCTTAACAAGTTGGTTATTCTATTATACTTCAAAAATGTTTTTGTCATTTTAGATACCATTAAATATTATGTCACCGAGGTGATTATTCAACCATCTGAGGGAAGTTTCAGCCCAATACCAAGGTAACAAAAAAAAAAATCAGGTAATTTGCTCATGTGTATGTTTTAGAAAGGATGCTAGAAATGCTCTAATGTTGTAGTTTCTTGAATAATTACATGTAATTAACAGTGCAATTTTACGTAATCATCCCAGAATTAAGCATTGTAAAGGTAATGTAGTTTGAATTCATCTAAATGCAGTTCTGTTTGCTCGTCTTTGTGTGTGACACAGGAGAGAGATTGTGTATAATTTGTCACAGTCTCTCACTATTCAGATGATAAACCAAAATGAAATACTTATTTTTTGAACTATTTAAGCTTACATGACGTCTGATGACTAATTATGGAAATGGAAAGTTACATCATGTAAAGTTAAATTAAGTAAAGCTTGAAATATTTAATTGGAACTGAGATTTTTGAAATTTCAAGCAATTCAGTTTGAAATTAAGACTAAGATGAAACAGAATCTGATCTATCTATCTTGTATCATGTACTACCATTAGTCACAGTTCTCTCTTTTTGTAAATTGTATTTGAAATACGTGCATCGTTCTAAACTTTGTGTAAAGATCATATGTGTAAAGGGAAAGCTTTTATTCAGCATTTGACATTTGGTATCAGCCCAAATAAAGGATGTGGAGCAATTTAGAATGCTGATCTGTTAAAAAATTCCTGTTGCAGGAAATAGAAAATTGTAGGATATAGTGAAATTGCCAGTATGGAGATACTCATGTATCTGTAGTGCATTGATATGAATGACTTTGCCCATTTAACTGTTATGAAAACATATAATATGTGGTTCATTCTTAAACAGGTCTCAATTTGTGCAGAGCATGGTTGCTCAGTGTCTTTTGGAATTATCCTCTGCTAAAAGCACATTTAGATTCACTGTAAAAGGGGATAATGGAAAAACCTATATTCTGGTAAGTTTTTAAATCTTCATCTTACTGAAAAAGTTTAACCTATGTATCCCAGCTCCTAAAATTTATTATTTATGCTGTTAGTTATTGTATCTTTAAAGAAAATTAACAAATTCAAATTCTTGAAGTAGTTCTGAAGAGTTCTGTTCAAGTAAGAAATCTCCAAGTTCTTTAATGTAAGTAGATGTACATGTAGAAATTTTCTCTTGTTGTTACATTAATGAAAGTACTACAGACACACCAGAAGTAGCACTGGTTTGTATTCAGAAAACATGGAAAGTTTAAGTTTTAACTTTTTAATATATATCTTATCTTCTTGCTCCAGTGCTTCTTATCTTTAATAACAAGAAGTGAATCAAGTTGCGTAGCATCTTTCCCAGGTATTGTCTTAAGTCAGCAGAGACTACTAATGTAGTCAGTACATTGCATTGGAAAGTGAATTGCAAACAGAACTAAAATTGCCTGTTATACTTAATGTTCCAATGCTGCTAAACTTGGTTAAGCTTGATATTTAAATAGTGACAGCTAGATTCCTCAAACTTTTAAGATGGATAGGAATTATTTTAATACTATACACTTGTTGTAACTAAGGGTGTTTTCTTTTATTCCTGAACTAAATATAGGTATAGCGTTTGTATTTTTGCAGTTTATACAAAAAATTCATAGACGCAAAGATAAAGAAATACATGATTATAGATTCCTGCCCTGGATAAACTTATAGATGCACTTTCTTGAGGCAGACAATCTAATTACGTAAATTGTTTTATATATGCATTGTTCAAGTTCTGTTATTTCTGAACACCCAGGTGCTGAAGAAAGTGCATATCTCTTGCTTTTGAGTAAATTTTAGTGCCAGGATAACATTTGTACAACCACTGAGAAATACCTCTTTTGTGATGGCAAAATTAAGGTTTCATGAGTGGACCTGTAATTGTCACTATGTGTTATCTAATTGAGGAGTCAATAAAAGTTGTTGTGAGTTTTTCTTTGTAGCTTACGTGCTTCCAAGTTACCTAAAATTCTGCTGCTTAAGTAGATTGCCATTACTCTTAGCTCTGAGTTGCATTTTTGCAGATGTATTGATTAGGGGAGCAGGCTGAATGAGATAGGGCTGGCTTCTGATTGGCATCTCTTCCTTTTTATTAGTTAGTTACTAGTTTTTTGGGGGTGTTCTTTGTGTTTAACATCAGAAAGCCCTTACTCATGTCTGGACTTAGGTTCTGGCAACTGTATACACATCAACAGGTATTCTGGAGTTGTGAGTTAAGTCTTAGGGCTCAGAGGCCTTGTGGACACAAGTATAATTTGGACACTGTTTATATTAATGATTGTCAACACCTAACAGTAAAAAATGTAGGTGCTTGAGGCTGTGAGTATACAGCCAAGTTACAGAAGGAGTCTCATCACTGATACATAGTGAACCAGCTGTCCCACCTGTTTGTTTTGATAATGAGCCAAAGATTGTAGTTGACAGTGTTTGTGCTTACATACATGAATGCACACAGCTTAGGGTGTGTATGTGATAATTAGGGTTAAGGTTTCTCACGGGTATGTTTAAGTTTTTTTTAAACCACAGATATTATATACACTTGTTTTCCGTGTTTCCTCTGTATGTATCACTTAACATTACCAGTTATGCTATTTGCAGATATCATAATATGAGTTTCTGTTGTTTAAGTTATACTTATTCTGTTGTTCAAGGTGTATACTACTTATGTTGGGGGTATTTTTAAAGGATGTCAATAAATAAAAGTCTCTTTGTCTCAGGAAAAAAAAAAAAGTGGTGCATACAGATTTCCTTATTTGTCCTAACTATATGTCTGCCCTCTCTACCTTCTGTAAAAGGTGAATCACTTGCCTCCTCTCTTTGCTAAACTGTTGAAGTGTTCCCTACCTTGCATGACTTACAAGCTAAGAATAAGAGGAGGACAGCAAATGGGCAGTGAGATAGGAGAACATGAGCAAAATGGTACATTACTGATCAGCATAGCAGCATCTTAATAGATGTCTGTTTTTTCTGTACTATTAAAAAGTATAGCTTTGAAAGAGGTGAATAAGTAGTTTTCTGGATAGATACAGAGAATTCATATAATGGATGGGATCAACCTGATAAAACCCAAAAAGATACATCTATGAAAATCAAGAAGTGTGTGGTAGAATTTAAATACTATCTCCAGTCTTTCAGTACTGAATGAAAGACCTTTTTTGGAGTGTGAAGTGCCTTGAAAGTAAGGCAGCTTGTATTTCGGGAGTGACTGGAGAGGGAGTGGGAAAATATCCCAAGAAATTTAATGTGTAAAAAAAAGGGAGAGACCTGATTGTTGGGCCATGTCTTGAAGAGCATGTGCAAAACAAGTTTGCATTTGTTAAGATTGGTGAAGGGGTGGAGGTTGCAGTGATCAAGAAGTGCGTTAATGAGAACCTTGTTGAGACTTAGCTACCCAGTTCTCTTAGCGACCTTTATTCTTTGTGAAGTATGTGCAAGCCACATCTTTACCTGCACAGTCTGAATGTGAGGACAAAGTAGCTGTAATGAAAGATGTTTGTGTTAGTGACCTGTGTGATGATAAAAGTAATAGTAATGCCTGCAATAACTAAGAAAGAACGAGCAAGGAAAAATAAAAGCTTTTTTTTTACCCATATTAAGTTTGAATTGATGCCTAATTGTTCACAAGATTGTAGTATTTCACTACCTGGATTGAGTCTTGTGAAGTATAACTGAGATAGATTTGTTGTAGCTTTTCTCCTAAGAACATCTTTGAGGTCTATTGACAAAGTGATTTAAAAGTGAAGGAAAACAATGAAAAAAAGACCAACAAAACCCCAGAGACTTTCTTCTTATGCTGTCATTTCAGAAAAAGTCATCAATTGCACTATTAATGAATTCTAAACTTTATATGTTTATCTTTCTGTAAAGGTTCTTTACTTACTGGAGTTAATATGAAGGGAAGTTGGTTGTGCAAGCTCTGCTGTACAAAGTGGTAGAAAGGAAGGAAAGATAGCACGTTGTGAGTAACGTAGTTGAAAGCACAGATCAAAATATGAAACTGTCTTAGCCAGAAATAACATAAACTGCTTTGAGTCAACACACTGAGTCTGGGTGAGTGGTTGTTCATTCAGACCGAAAGCAAGATCAAAATTAATTTATACATGAGGAAAAGAATGAAAATACTGCCAAAAGAAGGAAATGTAGTTCAGAAGTTGATTTTCTCATGGCCAGGAGTCCTTCCACCCCCATTTTCTTTCTCTGTATTGTGTGCTAAATTATTAATACAGACCTGTTACATTGCTGTTGAGACAAAGACATATTCTGAACAAGTGGTAGAACGTGATTTTCAGATGCTATATATCAACACTTGTGGTGGAAAGAAGTGCTTGTCAGATGGAACCATGTTGCAAATGAAATGCTTTAGTTGCTTTCTCTAAGGCAAATTGCAGAAGGATTCTGAAAGGAGTAGACATCTATTGGCTGCATTGTTCTCTAGACTAAGTTTGAAGCATATTCCCCTTCTGAAAAGCATCCCAGGAAGCTCCTTCACAGGGAATTGATAGTAATTTCAAAAGGAAGAAATTCTGTTTCGTTAAAACTAAAAGTGTTCAGAGTGACCTGTGTGTAAAGGCACTTCTCTTTTTTCACCATTGTCTCCAACACCTCCTCAGCACTTGGCTTAAAGCACCTTGTGTAATGGTCCCAGCTAATGAGGTGTATTTTGCACTTTAGGCTATAAATGTGTAGATTGAGTTACCAGAGCAAAACTGATGAACAACCACTTGCTAAGCCAAGTGCAGTTGCTTGTCATCATTTATGTGCATATGCTAAAGTGATTCTCCTCCTCCCATCCCTCCCAAGCTATCTTTATCAATATATCTCATTCCTTCTTTATGAAGCTTCCACTGTAATGTTCTGAGCCTTGGGCTCTGATAAATTGTGACTGTCACATTCAATTACAACATATACTATGTGTCCTGTTAATGGTGGCTTTTTCCCTCCACCAGGGGATATCATGTGTCTGCTGCCTAACATCATGTAACTTGTTTTACTTGAAGCTGATTAGATCATGAGAAGCAGAAGATTGCTCTCTGGTGAGCAGCACTGCATAAATCCTGTTTTCTGTGATAAATATTTCATATATAAACATTTCATACAGGCTCTGCACTTGCAAAAATTGATTTCCATTGTTAACTCGTATCACTTCACTGCTGCAGGCTGTGAATAAAGGAAAAGCCTGACTTTTTATACAGTGTTTTTAGTATGAAAGCCCTGGTTCCAAGTCGGAACACTGATGCCCAATCACACAAAGATTAAATAAGATCCATAATGTGATGCAAAAAGTTCAGATTTCTCAAAACTCGCTCCAGTAAATATCCCCTGAATTGCTGGGAGCAAATAGTGCTGAAGAATGCCAGTCCCATTATGAAATTTGATATAGATTTATTTTCCAAGTAAGAGTTTGTTACAGCTGTTTGTAAATCTCAGTGTTCCTTTTAGACCTTGTTAATTGGTGTCTTCTTCCTTGCATGTTTTAGCTCCATCTAGTCATGACTACCACTTATAAAAATCCTCTATTTTTGGCACTTTCGGTGAGCAGTCTTTCAGTTCCCTGTCTTTAGCCCTCAATTGCTCAACACCATATGCTTGACTACCTCCAAAAAAACCCAAAAGAAATTGGAGAAATAATCCATCTGCTACTGAAGGAGATGACTTGGGACTGTTTAGTTACTATCAAAGGAAGTGTGCTACACTCAATAAAAGAGACAGCTTCACAGAAATGATTTTAAGAGTGACTGTGATAAATCAGGCATCAGTTCATTGTATTAATCCTTTTTTCTCCACTAGATGCTGTGCAGACTGTGCTGAATAATAAAATGTCAATTTATGTCTGTTAAACCATTGTTGGAAACTTTGTAAGAATGTAGCTTTAGTATCAGCTGATTTAGAGTCAGAGTAAAGTAACAAGTTGAAATTGATATAATCTACAGTAAAATAAATTATTTCTTCATTTATAGATATGGCTTTTAAATTCTGACACATTGCTGGTGGAGTCTTTAGGAAGTTCCTCCTCTCTCAGTGTTCTTACACTGTTTGGAGATATTTTCATGCCTAGCTCTGGACCAGTGGGGACCTGGAATGCTGTCAAAGTCCTTTACCAGCCATGCATTAAATGCAGAAATAAGGAGTAAGTACAGCCTTTTCTGAAGTCAGGTTCTGATATTTGATTTGCTTTGCATTAGTATTTTTTTGATGTTCATTTTTAAAAATATTCTTTTAAGCACAATGCCAGAGAAGTAGTATTTGGTTTCTGTTAGGGCCAGAGAGAATCTGGTTGTTAAATTTTTCCACTCTGATATTAAAATATAGACCAAAGAGTTATGATTTTTCTAAGGACACTTGTAGATAACTTAGATGTTAGTGTTTAAATTTAATTTGCTTTCAGCCTAGTGGTGACATTATTTCAAAAAGAAGCAGGGCCCTAAGAAAAGGGGAAAGAGAAGAGGTGAGGGAGGTAGTTGAGTACAATGTCATATAAATGTTTTACTTGGATGTATTCAAGTCTACCAGAGCCCTCATAAAGGAAACATTGGATTTCAGCAAGCTTTGAATTCAACATTATGAAAAACATACACTGCCTAACATGTTAAAGCCTTTATCTGTTGGAAAGCAAAGATAAGAGAATATTGATTAAGCAGTAGCTCCAATGTTTGCAGGTGACGGAGTATGATTTTAGCATAGTTTTCTGCGTTTGTTTTTACAGTGATAGAGAAAAAAGTACTGATTTTGTATAAGTCACACTTAAATAGTGGTTTGGTATTGTTATTTCTTTAACCTTTTGGAAACTAGATGAAAAATTTAAATAGGTATGAATGTATTTGAATTTAGAAAACAGTCCCTCCAGACTCAGTCAAAACACAGCTAATTCATAGCCCAAGACCTCATAGAAGTACAGCGAAAATGTTGTCTCACACAAACTAGCAAAGCTGTGTATGATTTTAATGTTTTTGTAGGAGAAACCTACACCTTGCAAGCATGTATGATTCATCGTAATGTGTTTATCCTGGGTGTTGCCAAGTGTATCCTTTTTGTTTTTCAAACAGATCCAATGCTAAATAGCTGAAATAAACTGACATAGGGAAAGAATACAAAATTCTAATATTTAGCAAAAAGGTCACTCTACATTGTTAATGTTATTCATGTAAGAAAAAATAGCTTTATTAATGTAATAGCCTCAGAAGCTGGCATTGGAAAACCTCTGTGATCCAAATGCTATTTAATGATCCAAAATACATCGTAAAGCGTTATCACTTAAAGTGCTCCTTCTGAGAATGGGAGATATTGCAACCTGCTATAAGATGAAAGATATTTCACATACCACTCTTAAGTCTTACAGAAGTGTAACTTACAGTTTTGCTTTTCAAGTTTCAGTTCTATATCACTGAGAAGATTGAATTACCTTAACACACGATCAATTACTCTGACATGTTATTGAGATAAAAGTCGTATCTACTTAGTCATTTACCTAGCATTCACAATTCCTTTTCTTGAATGGAGTTCTCAGCAGCAGAATTTTACTGTGAAATTATATTCAGTTCTTTCCCCAGACAGACTTGTTACAAATCACTTTTTTCTGAAGATTATTTTGTATTTATCTTTGGGATTTTGCACTGAGCATGAGGCACAACTGAGGTTTTAATTCTTATCTGACAGTAATTGACATTTTTCCCTGTCCAGTCCCTAGACAAATGCAACAATATAAGTGAAAGAACAGAGGATTCTTTTTAAGGTTCAGAAACTAAAGGAACTGTTAGTTTGGTATTGTTTTCCCATTTTTATATTTCTTAATAAAGTACAGTAAAAAGGACATTAGCACTTCAGTTTGTTTCCACTAACTCATGTCAGTTGGCTGGAATTACTACTTGGATCTGTGAAATAAGTCTGAAGTCTTTCTGTATTGAACATGAATGTAAACACAGTGGAAGGAAAAATACCAAGACCAGTACAACATATTTAATGCAATGTGTTTGCATTTAGATCTCAAATATTATTTCAAGAATTCTAAACCAAGCATGCTAGTTCCAAATATTTTAGATGCCCACATTTCAATAATAATTATAATACTACCCTGCTTGCTTCTATGTACACCTGCCTTTGAAATAATGCAAAGGTTTCAGAGCCCATGGCCTGCTCCCCATGAGTGGGGAGTAAGCAAGGACACCTTCTGTGTAGGAAGCAGTCAGCAGCAAGTCTGCTTGTGACCTAGACACCAGCAGACACCAATAGCTACAAGGCATAAGCATGCACTCTGGTAACCTATTGCACATCAGAGAGCCTCTTCAGTTGCTGTGAGTCCCTGGGTACACTCGGGTCCTGTCCAATTCCTGCAAGGCCAGAATCTGAACTGTGTAATGAGAGGGAAAGAAAACACCTTCCTTACGTGTGGACACTGCAGAGTCTGTGCTGGTTAGCTGGGCCATAGGTAAGACAGATTAAGGTAAACTAGAAGTAAAAGTATTGTTTGTAATATCTAAATATAATAACGTAATCACATATTTGTAAAACACAGGTGACGAAATGAAACAAAATCTGTACTTAGTCTACTTACACAACCATAAATATACTTACTCTGAGAGAAATACATGGTTCCATGGTAGCAGTCGAGGTCTCGGGATTTGTGAAAGTCTCCCTAGGCAAACTGCTGCTGCTAGAGAGAGTCGGACTGGGATTGCTTAATAATTCACATTCAGGCACCTTTTTTTGAAGTAAGCCTTAGGTTCAGATTCCTGGGGATTCACTTGAATATGTTTCTTATGGGGAGCGTAGTAGCTTTTATGTGTGATCTTTCTTTTCAAGACTTTTGAGATGTCAGAAGAAATTTATTGTCTCACTCCAAAACTCATTTTATTCCTTCTTTATTCAGAGCACAGTTTTGGAATTCTTCATAATTAACTTAATGCTTATTTCTCTTCCTCAGATATAGAAGTGCTTTTTTCCCCTTAAACTAAAAATTATGTCCTGTGAAGAGCACTGCTTCAGTGAGCAACAAAACTCTCTTTCCTCCAGTAAATCACTGACATAAATCTATCGCTGTACCTTACATTCAGTATTACTCTAAATGTTAACAATGTAAAGGAAACAAACATTTGAGTAGGATAAATGTCCATGGTTCATTACTGGCTGCTGAGTGGTAATTGCCCATTTGAAGGGTTAGCTGTCCTGAAGCCTGCTGTAAGAAAACTGTGGTCAGAGTTAGACCGAGTGTTGCTACAAAGGTAGCCACTTGTGTGGCAACAACATGCTGATTTCATGTTCCATTTGTTGATCTGTGTTGACCATCAGATCCTTTCTGGTGGATTGCAGTCTAATAAGCAGCCTTCCTCATCGTGTTTGCACACATGTCCTTTGCCAAGTTATATCCTAATTTGGTCCAGAACCTTTTTCTCTTTTGGCCATGGCCATTTTTGTTTCCAACATGTGGCCAGTGATGGCTCTTCCCACCTCCATGTTGTCTGTGGAAGGAGAATCATCTGTCTTGTTCAAGTCTCTGGTAGGGCGACTTAGATATGGATAGGAACAAACTAAGAACATGTCATGTGGAACCTCTGTCCATATACCTTTTTTTTTGGCAATGAATTGTTAACAGTTGTGCTCTCTATATTCTTTGTATGTTAGACTATGTTGCTCAAGAACATTCAGAAGCTTTAAAGGCGTTGTGAAGTTAAAATATGGCTAGGAATATCCAGACATGCTATTTATAGTGTAGTTCTTGGCATTTCTCTCTGCGGATCTGTATTCCTCTGATCTTCTGGAGGGTAGCCTTTAAGTGTTGTAGTGATTTGTATCACTCCTTCAGCAGTTAAGCAGGGTTAGAAGCACTTAGGTGTGTGTTATGTGTGATAACACAAATTCTGTATAGGTCCATCTACAGTTAGGGTTTCAGCCCTTGGGGGAGCTTTGTGACAATCCTTTCACAACAAATTAGTTGCAATTGCATACTGTCAATTTGTTCTTATCGCACATGAAAAAAGTGTCTTATCAATGTGGTTGAGTCCCATGAGAGAAGGATGCCTGGTGCATTTTCTGCTCCATCCTTACTTAGGTATTTGTGGATCATGAGTATGTGATTATGTTCGTTCCCCCCACTTTTCTCTCTGCAAGGCTCCCTTTCTCCACCTACAAATCTGCTGTGCAGACAGAAGAGGTCTTCCTTTCAAGTAACAGGTTCTTGGCAAATAACACCTTATGCAGACAGCCTTGACTGGTGGGAGTGATAATGGTAAATACTGCTGAAGTGAGTGTGTTGTAAAAATGTATGAAGAAAATTGAAAATACTGCAACATGACAGTTCAACCATAACTTGATCTCAGAAAATATATGTGAAGGTACAGTTAGAGGAAAATTGCACTTTTCCCTTTATAGTAGAGTGCTAGACAAAGCTTTGTCAGAAGGTCACTGAGAACTTTTTATATCTCACATGTATCTAGAGTCTCTGTGAATGGTTTACAGCTTTTGCAGAAGCCTTCTTTTGTGTAAGAATTTACTGCTTATAATTTGAGAGTTGAAAAATGACTTCTAGAAATTGCTCATTTTATTAGCTTTAGAGGGACAAGAATAAGCTTGAAAATCGAGTTTGTGGCTGAAAACCTGGAGGTTTTGAGTCCCAGTGCTCTTAATACAGTCCATATATAGTGAGCTGTTTATGAAGCTGTTATTGACGTATTCCGGAATGTTGTTTATTTATCCCAAGAATGGCTCTCATTCTGTATATATCATCATGGCTGGGCTTCGTGAATGAAGATTTGTGGAGGGCTCTACCCACGTTTGTTGCAAGCACGCTGGTGGTTTAAAAGGCCAATATGAGATAGGCACGTCCGGTTGCAAGACTCCTTAGGTGGTATATTCTGCAAGACACGATTCTTTCTGCGTTGTCTTTTCTCCTCAAGGGTGATCCTGTGTGCTTTCTCAAAAGAAGCAGCAGCGTTATAGATGGTGTGTCTCCAGACCTCCCGCCTGGAGGCCAGAGTAGACCAGTGATGTTGATCAATATGGCCAAGGCTGAGATGTTGTTTCAGGGAGTCCTTGTATCTTTTCTTCGGGGCTCCTCTCATGTGGCAGCCAGTGGCAAGTTCACCATAAAGCAGGATCTTAGGGAGGCGGTGGTCCTTCATCCTTGAGATATGCCCT